GAATTATTTTCGTCTACGTTCATAATATCTGTATTTTTTTCAGTTCTGCGTAATACCATAGATGTATGCACACCTGATATTTTTTATGACGTGTCACAGGTAGATAATACCGTGCGAGGCTGGTAGCGAACGTGTTAAGATGCATTTATCGTCGAATTTTCTGTGTGTAATAGTGTGACAGTGGATCTAGAGACAGAAACATGTTTTCCTCGTTGCCTAGTCACGGAAATTTAGTAGAAGTTTTTTGTAAATACGATCGGTTCACCTGTTCGTTGTCTTAATTGAAAAAATATGCAAATCGCTGGGAGTAGATGAAAGGTGGCTAAATAGCCGATAGACAAGGGACTTTGTTTAGAAGAACTTTGAACTTTATATCGGAAAACTTTCCAGCGGAACGCGTTCCGAGTGGGCAATCTACGGAACACCTGTCGTGCTTTATCGATGCAGGATAACGCTTATAAAAAGCTAGAGGGAAGACTTTGTTGTAATCTGAAGAAGCTACAGATCGTTGGGCTGTAGACATTTCTAGATACTCGTCGAATTTTTCAGACAGTCTGGCGATCTTGGTCGTAACAGAAAGTACGAAGGACACGTATTTCGAGGATCGAATGGACAATTAGACGGATCCAAGATCCGTTTCTTCCTGCTGTCGATCTGTGCGAGTAACGATCGAGCGCGCTTAATATGCGTATCGAATCGTGGATCGAATTGAAGGAATACAAAAAGTGTTCCTTTGTCTTAACGTTGTTGATTCGATCGTTAAGATTCATCGAGATAACGACGTGTCGATGACAGCCATCAGTTTCACGGAAACCCGGTGATTTCCGCGTACAGGGTGGGCTAAACATAGTGTCACCGTCGATTCGATATGTTTCTCGCTCCGCGTTAACCCTTATGTCGATAACCACAATTGTCGTTATTGGATTCGGACAGTGGATTGTTAATGAACTAATGTCTTTCTTAACCTTTAAATAAACTCTCTTCGTTTAACTAGAGATTTACCGGAGAGAACGTTCGAACTGTGCGAGTCACGCAGCAAGAATGGAATGGGAAGTCAGGTCAGAAAAATATCTGCTCTGACTCTTTATAAAGAAAAGATCCCCTGTCCTATACGTGGTTCAAAGTAAGAGTAACCTCGTTTCGCGCATGGGACGTGCCTAAGGCAGGGCTAGAACCACTAGAACGTCCAAACCCTCTGCTACGCTCTCTGTCTATGCGCAGAACGGACGAGAATCGGTCCGAGTGCGAGGTTACTCTTATTTTGAACGATGTATACCCAGAACTGCAGGCTCTGTCTACGGTATCCCTTCTCTACGTGTTGATTTATTTTTCATCGTAGCACTTCAAACGTGCACTCGAGGACGAAATATCAAACAGTCGTCCACTTTATCGTCCAATTTTAGTAGCTTTCTGATAAGAAAATTCTGAACTTGAGGCAAACACGGATAGGAAATGTGCGAAATAACAACGATCTGGCCGGATATTTCAATGTTTCACCTGGAAGATGAAATATTTTAAGTGAGAATTATGCAAAAGGGTGCCCGGTTATTGACACAAGGGTTAAACGGGACGGAGGAGCTGATAAATTTTAGGGTGATGAAGAGAGTCTCGTTTCTTTTTAAATAGGTACATTAATTTCTTTCTTATTCCAGGAAGCCACATATTGCACTCAATTAAAATTGAAATCGATATAGTTCTTCGTGGAGTAATTTAATTATTAGTTTTGTATTACGCGTTTTATACCTGTTCTCTGCATACATGAATATGAATAAGAGCAAAGTTGATGATTCGATAATGACTGAATAATTACATGAAAAAAGTAATCAGAAAAGTGTGAAAAACATCGGTGGAAAGGAAAATAACGCGTCGCGGATAATCGAATCGATATTTGTAATTTGGCACGATAACAATGCAACACGTAGTTGATCAATCCACTATTTTTAATTAATCTCCTGTCAACTTTTATCGTGCCAACAACCAGATAACACTCTCTCGTCTAGCGAAATTGTCGTCGAAACCGTTCGAAACTCCATGGTGAACGTGGAATTATCGTTGTTTCCAAAACGATAATTCGACGCTCATATTGTCTCCACGAACGAGCGACATGGAAAATTGCAGGGGAAGGAAGGGGAAGGAAACGAAAAAAAAATTGCAATATCTGCCTTTTGTCAAGGAAGACTATCGTTTTACTTGACAGCTAGACGCACGCCCCTTAAATAAGCGCGACGCGATCGAATAGAACGTGAATCGAAGTCAAATCGACTGCTCACGTGGTCGGGTGATTCACCAGTGCGTAGCAATGGAAAACGAAAGAAACAACGACAACAAAAGGAGGAGGCAGAAAGTTTGGTGCACTTACGTCGGTCGAAGCACTTTACGATCTATAGATCGCTGGTATTCAATCTGTGTGTGTCCACAGGTCCACAGGTGTGTCCAAGATTTTTCGACGCGAGTTAAGAAATTTAAAGAAGGGATTTTTTTTTTTGTAAATCGGTCGAAAATGTATCGTATCTACTTTCTTCTCAGATCTGGCTGTCAGATAAGAAAGATAAAAGTTAGAAATCGCTGGTTTCGAGGATAGGTTACGGTTAGTTGAACTGATTGACAGGCGAAAACAGCGTTGTACAGGTGTTTCGGCACTCGCGTATATCCGTGGTCCGGTGGGTTTTAATATCCCGCGTCATTTGGAATCCATCGGATAGGTAAACACGCGAAGCGCCACGCAACGTTACGCCGGTAGTTACAGTGGAAGATAACGCGCTACACAAGTGTGTATATTTTTTCGGACAATTATATGTACGTGCGACTGGTATCGTGCAGGTAGAGCTCGTATCGTTTCGTTTACGACCGATCGTACGTTACTCGCTACGGGACAATTGCAAGATAATACATACATACGTACTGTTGGAACAACAGTGACAGGCTTTATACGGTAGCAACGCGTTCACGTAGAATTGGTATCGTGCAGGTAGAGCTCGTATCGCTTCGTTTACGACCGATCGTACGTTACTCGCTACGGGACAATTGCAAGATAATACATACGTACTGTTGGAACAACAGTGACAGGCTTTATACGGTAGCAACGCGTTCACGTAGAAGTGCTTTTTCAAAGGAACCGTTCCTCTTTGTGTGTGTATATATATATATATATATTATATGTAAAGAAGATCGGAT